AAAGTTTCTTCAGTATTGGGGCTACAGTTTGATGAAAGTTGTGAAGTTGTAGCACGTATGGTTGATTTGTTATGAATTTTCAAAGTTTTGAACTTTAGACGCTTGCTGTAGCGCCACCATCAGGACTATTGGCTTGAGTTTACAGCTGAGGATATCTGGCATGAGACTGGACCTTTGTGCAAAGTTTGGTGAGTTTTCACCCATGGGAAGTATGATTTCCTTGGAAGAAGAAAGAAGAAGAAGAAGAAGAAGAAGACCTAGGATTACAATGGTGTAATAACTACACATATACACACACATACATACACATGTGCATATGTATACGGGTGTATGTAGAAATATTTAATAGACACAATCAAATTAATAACAAAAACTGATGCAAATGAAATTAAATATTATACAAAATCAAACTAAGCTAGATGAAGGCTGCAACAGAGCTACTCAGGAAATAAAATTTGTATTTACTCCCACCCCCTAAGAGTGTATTATTCTCTCAAGATTTTGTTTTGTCAAATTTTAGAGGGACTTTAAATCTGGTAGGTAAAAAGCAAATATGATGAAACCTTAGAAACAGTTTAATTGTCCAGTGTGTGGCAGCAGAGCAGTGATGACATGCAGCTGCTCTGTGGGACAAGTGAGTACATTCTTGATGTAGTCCTCCCTGCAGCCCAGCAGGGGGCGATGAAGCGCTGACGTGTTTGACACCGAGGACTCGCCAGAAGAAAACCCCTCCGAGTGACGTCATTTGTGTAGCAGCCACAAACCGGAAGAAAACATCCAGCTGTTATCTAAGCAGGCAGAGCTGTGGCTAGCGTTAGCAGCCTGTGTAGCGTCGGTACAGTGATGAAACGGCCCTGAGAGTCGGGAATAAACCGGTGTGTTACCATGCTGTGTCCGGCGTAGTGTCTGTGTGTCGAGAGAAACCCGCGGAATATATTTCCCCTCGACTTTCCTCCGGCCCGAGTGTTGAAACAAGGTACGTTAGCTTAGCATCCGAGCGTTAGCTGTTAGCTAGCGGTTACTAAGGTTAGCCCGGTTGCTAATCAGCAGGCAGTTGTTTTACTTGTTAGAACGTGTTTTACCAGGTTATTGTGTGTTTTCATCTGTTGTCTCGTGACTGTGTGAATAATATATATTTAACAGTGACGCTTGGATATGTTGTAAATATAAAATAACAGATACAAACAGAGGCAGGGTCACCAGCCTCAGAAATATAAGCTGATATTACTGTTAATGTCTTCAATATTAGGTTGGTAATGTAGTGAATAAATAGATTAATGCTATCAAATATATTTCTCAGCAGCTAACAACCTCAATGTGTTGTTCTTCACAGCAAAGATCTGTTATATGTCAACTTTTTATAGTCTGTGAAGCTGTTAAACACTAAAAATAGGCCATAAAATAATGTTATTAAACGTCATATATCATATTTCCAGATGCACCTTGCCCTCTATTACACTGTTGAATCAGCTGTTGTGTCCATTTGTCTCTTCTTCCCTTAAATAATAACAGTTTCAACAAGGATTTATTTAAAAAAAAAAAAAAGTAGTATAATCAGACACCAAATGTATTATTTGCTTTAAAAATAGTTTTTACGTCAGAATCAACATATAAGGGAGAACACACATAAAACCAGGGGTTCAGGGGTCGTCCACAAGAAAAATGTGAGCATTTTATGCACAATTTTATGGTGTAAATGGCTAAAATTTTGTCAGAATAAAAGTTCTATACTACTTTCATGTTTTCATCAGGGTAAACAAATGCACATGTTCTTTTCCACGTCACTTTGTTTTGTCGTCTGTTGTTTTGTGACTATGTGAGTACTGTTTTATTGTTTTAATAGTGGATATGTAAAATATATAGCCAGTGGCAGGGTCACCAGCCACAGAAATACAAGCTGACATCACAGTTAGCGTCTACAATATGAATTAGGGTTAATGAGTCATGTTGTTTTCGTGTAAATGGATTAATGCAGTACATTTAGTACATTTTACAGCAGCTATCAGCATCAGTAGAAAATGGCATCAGTCATTTATGTGTTGGGGTCTGTTCTGCACAGCCAAAAGAGCAGTGTATCATGATTTTTTTAACCAGTGTTCTGATCTGATTTGACGACCTGGATATTTGTTGTCTGAGCTTCTCTGAAAAGACTCTGCCAGTGAAGTCTGTGTCAGGGGTCATGTTTTTCCCTCTTTCATTCAGCCATCACTGCAGTTATGTTTTGGATTAAACTAGTCAGGTTGTGTGCTGCGTTTGTGCGACACATTTATTGTTTATGCATGTTGTTATAGTGCACACAAGACAACAGCAGTGGAAAAGCAAAGAGTAAATGCCATAGATGTGTTCACGACAACAGGACTGTTTACACAGAAAGTTGTAGTCTTAAAAATACAAATAGGTACAATATAAAGGAGAGGAATGGATTCCTATTTTTGTATTTTGGCGTCCCCCAGCAGGACAGTCTGCCATGCCGCACTGCAAAACCTTTTCAGAAATGGCCCGAAGAATGTGACAAAGAGGTCAAGGTGTCGACCTGCCCTTCAAATTCCCCACATCCCAATCTAATCGAGCATCTGTCTGACATGCTGGCACCGCACCTAGCAACACAGAGGACTCAAAGGATCCACCACCGGCAACCCGGTGCCAGACAGCACAGGACTCTCCCAGAGGTCTTGTGTCAGGAGGCCCCACTGTGGGTCAGGGTTACCTCTTGGGTACTGGCACGTCACACAGATGCTCTGTCAGATTGGGATCTGGGGAATTTGAAGGACAGGTCAACACTTTGACCTCTTTGTCATGTGTCTTGAGCCATTCCTGAGCAGTTTGTGCAGTGTAGCCTGGCACACTGACCTGTCATTGGGGAGTGCTGTTGCCATGAGAGGATGTAGGAGTGTGCAAATTATTGTGCAGGGGATATAAAAGTTCACAGTATAAACAGGTACAATACAAAATATGTGCAAGAGGGCTGTAGTAATGATGGCAGGATGTGTGTTAATGTGATGTATAATGTCAGGATAAGAGTCAGTGTCAGTGGGGGTCCAGGGCCTTGTTGATCAGCCCACTTGCAGTTGGGAAGAAACTCTTTTGTGGTGTGAGGTTTTAGTCCTGATGGACCGCAGCCTCCTTGCAGCCGGCAATAGGAAGAGGAATTAAATTATTTAAACTTCCATGTAGTCGATTATGGGGAGAATACTGTTGGAACAGTTTTTGTTTTCCAGTCCAGAAAAGTGTAAGTGACTCTCAGATTACAACAAAGTGTGTTAGTGCATTTCTCTTTGGGCCCTCTGCAGTCTACTCAGCGCTTATATTGAAGAGGTTTAAGATGTGATTTGTCACGTCATAGTTCATTGAGCTCATGTTCCAGTAGTTTCTATTGTGAAGAGCTTGAAGAAGAGCTTTGCTGCAGTTATTTCCAGCTCGTTGTAGACGTTATTGTGCCGTTGACAGTTAAACAGGAACCTGTTCTTTTTTAAATCTGCACACATTATGATGCTCAGCATCCAGTTTCTTTCACCAGTGACTGCTGATTTCTTCTGTTCTGATTCAGCTGTTGTTCAGAGGGATTTTTGTCTCTTCAGTTGTCAGTCTGGTTGAATGGGTGTCCAGAGTTTTGTTCTCCATGTACAAAACAAACCCTTCATACAAAATGAAATCTGTTTGTAAAGAGGACTCTATAGAACTTGAAAAGCATCAAAGACTATTCAAACGTATTAAAGAGTCGTCTCACACATCTGACTAACTGGACCACATCGAACTTTGGTGGCAGGAGATGACAGACTTTTGATTGGCAGCTGCTTTCCCTTATATTGTAGTGAATTTCTATTGATGTATTTCTAGACCAAAAAATACATCTAAAAAAGTGACCTAACCTATTTATTGATAATTCGGACTGTTAATAATTTTGCAACGTTTGTTATATATGTTCAATCAGTAATGTCACTGCTTTGGTCATTTATTTAGCTTCTGAAATGAGGTTACATGAACTTTATGTGCTGATACAAATCTCTTAAAAGTGCTCTTTAAAGAAGAGTCATATATTCTTAAATCAGGGTTACCACGGTCACGGAAAACCTGGGAAAGCTATGGAATATTACAATCATGTTTTCAAGCCATGGGATTGGTAAAAATCATGACAAGTTTTGGAAAAGTCAAGAAATTTTGTTGTGTGTAATGAAATTGTTACAGTGATGAAATAAGGGAAGTAATGTAATGTGTATATTCTGTAGCTGTCGACATAACTTGGCTCAAAAATGTGTTGATGTGTGATGACGTTTTGCTTACCATCACGTACATTTCTGCGTGTTCTCCCTGCGTTCCGTGTCTCCTGCCTGAAATTATGTTTAAATATTGTCTGACATGTTTGAGAAATGCAGGCAAGTGGAGCAAGAAAAAATGTTTTAGGATCCTTGAAAAGTCATGGAAAAGTCTTGAAATTTTGTGCATTAAAATGTACGAGAAGCCTGTTGTATGTTGGTTATGAAAATGGATACACGCAGACGCAAATATACACACACTTAATCCCACCTGATCATGGCACAAGAGGCTATCATAGGTCATGGTTTTTAAAAATGATCCAACCCCATTTCGATGTGTTTATCTGGTTCTTCTTGGTGTGAATGACCACTGTGAGGACTACATGTTGATCTTCAGTTTCTTTCACTTATTCAGGTCAGAGTGAGTTACTGACACGCGGTGACCCGTCTGTCTCTCTGTGTCCCTGCAGGTGTGAATGAGTGACGTGGTGCCTCCCACAGCTCTCAGTGAAGTCCAGCTCCGCTTCCTCTGCCACGATGACATAGAGAATGTCAAGCTGCTCTGTGGTGATTGGTTCCCAATCGAGTAAGAGTCACATCCAGTGATAGCTCCTGTTAGCGTCAGAGTTTGAAGCTTTTTATTCAATCTACATCCTAATCTGTATTTGTTAATTATATTTATACTGATTCAAATCTATCAGTGGACATTTGCAGGTAATGTTTAGGGGGAGACTTGTAAAGGAACTGTCACAAAATCAACTTTTTGTTTTGCTTTTTACTGATTTGCATTGTAAAGCCTTTATTCTCTGCACTCGTGCACACTCATTAGTTGACTACAGGCAGTATTGATTGCTCTTTGGTGCATTACAGCCAGTTTTGAGAGGCGTGCTCACTGGAAATGTGAGTGTGTGACATCTTGGAAGTTGACGGGAAATTAAGATGAATTGCTGAATTTAACTTTTATGATGGTGTTGAGCATACAGGCTGCATGAGCTAACAAAATACCCTAAAATGATGTAAGCCAGCTCTAAAGTTATGGATGTACTTTATCAAACAGTTGTAGCACAAATCCTTCACATTCACAGCTTCAGAAAATAATAAAACATTGACAAAACTTTCCCTTTTTTCCAGGCTTTTGAAACAAAATTAGCAAACTCAACAACATCGTCTTTGTCATCTTTACTGTCTTAAATCATCATAGTATGTAAACTACAAAACATGACCCACTTCCATTTCTCTGAATTCACGCAGCTTGCACAACCAGTTTTCCTCCCAAGTGTTTTTTAATCGGCTAACCTCAGTGTGTCCAGAGGACAAACTCCAGTTCTCAGCTGTGACCAGATATTATCAAGCCATTTTCTTCAAACTTTGATTAAAGCTTACTTCTGCAGAGTTAAAGGGGAACACCACCTAAATTAAGAATTCCAATATGTTATCTCCATGTCTAAGGAAAGTTTAATCAGTATTTGTGAATGTGAGCTCCTCTCTGTCAAATCCAGAAACCAGAGAAGTACGTCTCAACCTTGTGATGTCATTGGGTATAAAGTCTGAAGCTGCCAAGACTGTGACCTTTTAAAAAATATTTTCCAGTCTGATTGAAGAGTAAAAATCAAACACCACCAAAAATAAGGTTTTGTCCCACTTCTCAAGAATGAGTGAGAGTTATCTGGATTAAACTCATGCATGTCTGCATGCATGAGTTTAATTGAGTTATTCGAGTTTCTCAAGGAGTCTTTTCAGCCCTGCTCCGATATATTTCTAATCTGGTTTGACTTGTATCATAAGAAACCCCATTATTCTGCCAACTTCTCTAGAACTGTGTGACAGATTCCTTCACATGCCGACTGATCACTGCCAACCTCTCTGACCTCTGCCTGCAGGTACCCGGACTCATGGTATCAGGACATCACCTCCAACAAGAAGTTCTTCTCCCTCGCTGCCACCTTCAGAGGAGGCATCGTGGGAATGATTGTGGCCGAGATCAAAGGCCGGACCAAAGTACACAAAGAGGTACGATGTTCAGCCCTGTTGTACTCACACAAAACACAAGGCTTCTGTGAAGTGTTCTCTGTAAAGATGGTGTCACAGAGTGTGTTGTTAGTTTGATTCATCCATTCTCGCTCAGCTGAGGAAAGGTCTAAAGTGGAACACAGAGAGTAGAGTCTGTTTTTAGTCTGCTAATTAGATGAACCAGGCGCCCTGACTGAGTTAGACTCTGTTATTACAGAAGAATAACACATAAGGGATGGTGATGAACGTCAAGGATTCTTCTTTAATTTTTCACAGATGTGCTCCTCTTTAAATGATATGTAAATGTATGACATGACTATCATTCTGTGCAGCAGGCTGTATGAGGAGAAACTCATGTCTTAAAACAGCAGAATATATTTATACAGAATGGCAGATGTACAGATATAAAATACAGGAGTTAGATATATTCAACTGGGCTATCAGAAATCTGCTCCTCTCACTTTAGGCTGTAGTTTTTAAGCTGTTAACTCGTGGATGGTGTCAGAACATCATTTCCCTTTGGAACAGTATTTGCATGTTGGACTCTGCCTTCCCTGTGGCTAATTTGCCTACACAAAGACCAGCAGGGAGCACACAGAGCATGTGGAGAGGGAAAGATCCTCTTAAGTGATGTTTTTTAATTCAATACTGAATCAAATGTAGCTTTTATTCGAGAGGTGAAAAATGTTAAACTCTGGGTAAAACAGTGCACTCGTCACTTCAGCTGATCAAACACAGTGAAGGAGGGACAAATACCGCAAAGACAAACTGTCACATCTTCCATGTACACGTGCTGAACAACAACTATGGAGGAGAAATCTGTTAGACGGGTGGGTCCGTCCTTTCTCTCTGCCTCAGTCTTCCCCTCGTCCAAAGCCAAAACTCTATCTTCTGCTGACATGTTTACTTCAACGGATGTTCCACATCATAACAACCAGACTCAACCGAAGCTGCTCAGCTGAGCAGATCACAGCGCCTCCTCCAAAACGCTCTCAAGCACCCGTAGCTCAGCGTTTCCTGAGGAGCGCTTGGAAGGAAAAAAGTACTTTGGTGGACACAATCTGTCATCTTGTCTCTGTCTTCATCTGTGTGTGTTTTAGGATGGAGACATCCTGGCCTCCAGTTTCCCTGTGGACACACAGGTAGCCTACATCCTGAGCCTGGGAGTGGTCAAAGAGTTCAGGAAACATGGCATAGGTACTGCTCCCCTTTTCTCACTCGCTCTCACACACACACACACACACACACACACACACACACACACACACAGTCATAGTAGAGGAAATTTTATTGACTGAGGCACAATCCCAATACACTCCTCTTCCCTGCCGCTCACCCCTCAATTTTACATGTTCACATCTCGGGGTAGGATGTCCTCATTCTTGTTGGGATAGAGGGGTAGAGCGAAGTGTTAGGGCTACATTAGTCTCGCCACCAGACGATCAGAGATCTCCGGCTTCTGATAGTCTGGGGACACTCCTTTCTAAAGTGTGTTTAACACACAGGAGAAAACGGCCAGCAACAAAGCAACGCATCTTGCATTTTTAAAAAGGACAAGCCCTCCCAGAAATGTGAGCTACCCCTTTTCTCGTCCGCAAGGAAACAAACACACAGAGAGCTTCAAAATGGATGCTGAGAGATTTAACTCCGTTTTATCAAATGTGTGCTCAGTCCACAAGATTGTGGAAATGAAGGACTTACAGCGACTTTGTTTAAAACTTTTAACGCAGTCGGACTATGTTTACGAGCACAAGAGTTCAGCGAGCCACCGCAGGACCGGCCTGCGGATTTACTATTGGTTCTGCAACATAGGGAGTTTTTTAAACTCTGAAATTGTGTCCGCCCATCTAAACACAAAATCAGGGAGAAAGACATCAGTCTTTAGTTAAGCAAAGCGTCTAAAGACTGACTTGTGAGTCTAGGGCTACATGGTGCTTCAGACAGGTTTGTCAGAGGCACATTTAAAACTGAGTGTTATGAGAAATCATCGTCAGGAGCATGGGCTGCTAACGTTGACGACTTGAGTACACATAAACACCGTCGACGACTACTGATGACTTATCAGGGGTTGTCCCATTTCATAAAGGGAGATTTCAGCTGCTATAAGACAAACCACTATCCCATAAGAAATGACACTTGGCCTCATCCTATAGCGAGAGACATGAGGCAAAAACAGTGTAGTTTGGCCCACTTTCATCACAGCAGCTGCAGGAGAGGCTGTAACACACAGCTAATGGAGGTTATCAAGGTGCTTTAAAACCCTTAGCACTGGACTGCTGCAGCTTGTGTGGCAAGTCATTCTCATTCTCTGGGTCAGACCTCACACCAACACTTTAGCAAGCTAACTAGGCTAACCGCCACGCCTACCCGTCCAGAAGAAAACAGGCCGACTCCACATCGCTCTTCATCCCCATTCTTTACTTCAGGGCTCGCCTCACCTGCACGCTGTGCCAAGGAACGTCCTGAATACTTTAAATAAGAAGAACATAATAAAATCTAGGCAGAGAGAGGGAAAATTGTCTTCATTTACACTGATTATAAGTTGTGGATTACTTAGCAGTAAACTTTGATAGCACCTGCTATAATAAAGGCCTGTGGATGGCACATGTAATACTAAATTTTGATTGAACCCTCTCTCTTTTCGATTATCCAGGCTCCCTACTGCTGGACAGTTTGAAGGAGCACATCTCAACGACAGCCCAGGACCACTGTAAGGCGATCTACCTGCACGTCCTCACCACCAACAACACTGCCATCCACTTCTATGAGAACAGGGACTTCAGGCAGCACCACTACCTGCCCTACTACTACTCCATACGAGGCGTCCTCAAAGATGGATTCACATACGTGCTCTACATCAATGGGGGCCACCCACCCTGGACAATATTATATCCTTTTGTGACGGCAGGAAAAGGAGACACCCGCTCATTGTTCTGTAGTGGACAGATTGATTTAAAGGTCCAATGTGTCAGATTTAGGGGGATTTAGTGACATCTAGTGGTGGTATTTTATTTTCTCTTGGCTTTACTGACAGAGAGCTGTCTAGCTGCGTTAGCATGCAGAAATATGGTGCCCAGTGCTGCAGTCTCCAGTGGTTAGCTATCCTTGGCTGCTCTGAAATGTGCACCACTCGGGTCATTTAGGAGCTAGCTAGCAGCACTGCTTATTCTGCAATTAACACCATACTGTTGGTGGGATGGTGTGTTCGGTTTCCTCTGGTCATGTAGCACCAAATTTAAAACGATTTGTGTCTTTCTACTGCACCGACAGCCCAGTTTTATTAAAGCACCATCTTTTCAACAGTGAAATACATAAAGTAATTTACTCATCTTCCTCCTAGTCTTTTCTTCTTCGTCAACAATATTGCATGTTAATAAAGTCACAGTTGGTATTTGACTAACTGTACTGTGAGCTGTAGATTAGCCACTTTAGAGAAGGAGAAAGACGATAATGTTATCTCAGAACCTTACGGTGCGAAGCCTCACCTCCTCCGGGCCGCTGTCTGTACCAAAGAGTAGTGTGAATGTTAAGAGAGCTCACTCCGCAGCAAAATCAGGGGACCGAAACATCTAAAGACTGCTCAACTTGAAGCTATCTCAGTTGACTGAGGTCTCCAGATGATGATTTGAGATCATAGCTGTTGTATTTTACACATTGTCCTTAACTTCCTGTCCCACTGACTATATCCAGCACATCGGTTCAACCCTGGCCAGCCTGAGCCCCTGCTCCATCCCTCAGAGGCTGTACCGACAGGCCCAGTCCCTGCTGCGCTCTCTGCTGCCCTGGTCCAACATCGCCTCCAAGACCGGCATACAGTACAGCAGAACAATGTGACATGGTGGGTGGGAGCTGCGCTGACAGCAGCGTATGACACAACTCTCTCTGCGTATCAATGGATGTCTGATTGTCTCTTTCTCTACTTTTGTTTCAGGAGCTCAGCTGTTTCTCATCAGTCTTCCCCTGTACACACCAAGATGTACGCGCACACTCACATTCTCGATCTCGTACGGCTTTCCACACACCTGTGTTTGACACAGGACTCAGGTTCAACCTGCGTTTGACCGTTCACTTACTACAACATCATTCCAGATCCAAAACATGTTTGTCACTGTTCACACAGGCTCCAGGTGTGCAGCTGTAGTTCTGTGCCCTCTGCGAAACAGGGTTGTTGCATCGCAACGTCATTCATGTTTTTACACTGACAGACAGACAGACGGAGTGATCTGGTAAAACCGTGGGATTTCTTTCAATCATTCAGTTACTATACCACCCTGTGTATGCTACACCAACCCATAGTTACTATAGTAACCTGTGTTTACCCTGTCATACCAAAGCCAACCCAGGCAGCAGAGCAAAGCAGAGGACCTGCTTCAGATAAACCACGTCGACCCGGGCGCACAGAGCTCGTCGATTTGGTGTGAAAAGGGTGAAACACACACTCACACACACACTGGGAACCCTACAGAGACTAAAGGTTCAACCCTGCCTATCTTCCTGTCTCCTTTCATCCTGTCCACCACTGTCACAGAGACTATGTATACTGTTTGTATATTATATATACTAAGCTAATATATAAATTTCTCTCTATATGTATGTCTATTCTATGCTGTCGGTAGTTGAAAGATAACACATCCTGTCCCCTTTTTGAGTAGAGACTGAATCCAGAGTCAATTCCACTTTGTAAAATAGAGACTCAAGTGAACACACACACAAGTGAAATTTGATTGGTCTGTGAATCTAGGGATGTTAATAAACGGGGGTAGTCGGGTAGAATAAAGCTGATAATACACAGGGAGCGATGAGACACAGTGTAGATGGGAGAAATGTTTAGGAGCAGTTTTCAAAAAGGGATTCTTCCAGAGGTGAGACAAGTCACAAGTAATTCTCAAGTCCTTGCACTCTAATCCTAAACTGGGTTCAAGTGAGTTTCGAGTCGTAAACAAGTCACAGTGCGCCCTTCATCAAATACAATGCTATTTTAACAGCAGACTAGTAATACATTAAGTTTTTAAAAATGTAATGCTATTTAAAATGTGCATTTATTTGTTTAAACAAATCTGCTGAAGTTGTTGCGTCTCAGTTTGTAATTTTTGACCCTCACGTTTTGCACACTGCAGTTTGCTTTTTGTCGACCACCACGTAGTTGTTGTACGCAAACAATAAATGTCTGGTGCTCAGTCAGGTGACGTTAGTTCTTCGTTGCTCTCTCCTGCAACTTGATCACGTGCCGTCGTATCTGGGAAATCAAGTGTCGACTTGTTGGAAATGAATAAGGTTAACATTAGTTGTTTCAGGAAATGAAGGGTAATGAATTGATTTTTGGCAAAAAAAAAAAAAAAAAGACATGCTTTTTAATCTTTAGGCGTGGGGGGAAGTATCGGGTATTTTGAGTCAGGAGTCGTTGGTCAAGTCTTTTTTTGATTTGGTCAAGTCGAGTGACTACAGAAAACAGCAACAACCTTCGAGCTAACAACCTACACACTGAAAAGGTTTTTAAAAAGATTTGGATTGTACAGTAAGGCAAGCCTGCTTTGTTGTTTCTAAAAAAAACTACAATGAATATAACAACTTGGAAAAGCCCAGACTCCGTCTCACAGGACTCTTCTGCCGATGCTGATCTGTGTTCTGACACAGCCAGTCGCAGTTGATTTGCCATATCTTTTTACAGTGGCAGAGGCATGCAGCAGTGACACTCGAGCTTCTATGATATCATCATGATAATATCCTGCAAGAGCCACATATAGCCAGCAAAGCATATGTTGTTTTAACATGTCCACATTCCTTCAACAACTGACGCATGTGGTTGGGTTTAGGGGGAAAAAAACAGGGTTTGGCTCTATAATCTTGCAGGACGTGCACACAGCTCTCCCGGGTAAAGGGCGGTGTTTGTTGGACCCATCCACCACCCCTCCCACACACCCTACTTGGATTTTCACCACCTTAACTTTTATTGTTCTTGTCCTACCGCGTTTCATCCAGACGCCACCAAGCATCGTTAAACTGTAACCTGGTTTATCGTCCACAGAGCGAGGCTGCACGCCCACATTTTCAGAACAAAATAGAACAGGCTGCAGTGAGAGTCTCTCTCCATGGGATATTTAAAAATAGCAGCTTTGTGCATTTAGTCCTTCTCAGGCAAGCTCAGGGGTTTAGTGTTGCTGAAGCCCACAGGAAGTGAGGATTAGAATATATGACCTTCACATAATCCGCTCCAAATTAATCTATATTTTTAAAGTCATTACTAAAAGTGTGTGTCATATGGTGGAAGCGGGTTTTTGTGACTTGTTTCTGACTTGAGTTGAAGTTATGTGACTCAAATCCACACCTCTGGATTCTTCCCTTTTAAAAGGTCATGATAATGTCTGATTTGCTGTGTGCAATAATGTTAAGAAACATACGAACATGTGACTCAGTAACGTCTCACCTCACATTTTATGCAGCTCTGTTTCAAAGTTTTACACACAAATACGAACAAAACTCAAAGCAGCGAGGCCTCTCTACACTGTCTCTAAATGTTGCCTGTGTATAACTGATACCAGAGGAACGGGGAGTTGCTGGGGTTTTTATTTTAGAGGTTTTAAGTGGCTGCAGCCTCGTCTGTCTGCTCTATGGTTGTAATGTTGCTGCTAATGTAGAGAAATGTCCATTTGTTTGTCCAGATTTTAAAATATGGCCAAGATTAGATTTTTATGTGAGCCTGTAGAAAAGATGAGAAACAGGAACTAATGCTCCCAAACACACACACACATCATGCACCTTGTGTGCCTCTGTGCACGCAGGTGTGTATGTCTGTATGTGTGTGTGTGTGTGTGTATGCACAGGGTCCAAAATTAGCACCCAGTAAGTGCCAAATGTTGGTCTGATCTGTCTGTGGAAGAGTGAAGTTCAGCCAGCATGTTGAGTGGTAATGTTGTCAGTGAGTCAGTTGTAGTTTCTCAGTTTCATTGCATTCTGTCGCATCTGATGGATGTGTCAGTCTGTGAGGTGATAGGTTTTATACGTGACATAGCACTGAGATGGGAACTGTGGGAAAAACATGGATTCATTGTGAAAAGGTGACAGATTCTGAGTTCACTCGGCAGGTAGCTCAGAGGTAAATTTCAGATATTGTGTATGCAATAAATTTCTTTTGTTTTGAATTTGATTGTAAAGACTGAGTCAGTGCGACTGGTCCTGCTGTTCAAATGTTTTACGTTGTTTTAACATTGTGACTGTCATATTACATTGTCATAAACCTGAGCCTTGTTTTCTTTCACAGCATGCCATGATTTCAGCTGTTTGTCTTAAAGGGGCACTCCACTGATTTAATGCTTCTATACATTTGGCGGGACGTGAGAGAGACAGTTCCCTGCAGGTCGGTTCCATGCTCTGCTTTATCAGTGTTATAGTGGTCCACATCGGTCCCTCAAGGATTTTGCGGGCTGTTTTTGTGATTGCTGCGGCCTGAATTACCTGATTTCTTGGCAGCTTTTCTAAAAAATTACAATGTATGTGGCGGCAGTAGCTCAGCCCGTGGGGACTTCGCTTGTGAAGGAGCATGTACTGGCAACTTGAGAGGTGGATTTGGAGTTGATTTTTGTGAGCATTCAGTGTTTCCCACAGAATTATAATCTGTTCATGATGGTATAGGTGATGTGGCAGTGAAGACCATTGGACGCAGAGCTGAAGGGCCGTCTTTGTCAAACGCTTTTCTCCTTTTCCTCCTCCTGAGTTCAAGCTAACACAGCACAACCTGATCTCATCCCTACTCCTTAGATTTTGCCGCTTGGGCAGAAGTGTCAGACACCAGGCTGTTAATCTCACAAAGACACTGAAACGGCTCAGCTGTGTTGTTAAACCTGTTGATAACAGTTGGGTAACGTTAGCCATGTGATGCTAACAGTTAGCCTTGTCACTGTGTGTGTGACTCTGTCCAAGGCACGAATTTTGGAATCCTAGGTTGGTGAAGGACTAGCCAGCCTTACTCTGCCTCTGACTGGCTTACCCTGACATTCTTAAGATGCGGACACACCAAACCAACATCAAAGAACTAACTTTCTCTAACAGCCAATCAGAGTGATCTCTCTCACCAACAAGCTCTGCCGACGGTGCAGGACACACCGCAAAAACTAGGGCGACAGACGCTCACCAACGGCCCGACTTTGGTCGACCGTTGGCTTGGTGTGTCAGGGCCTTTACCCTGACCTGAACCAATCCCACTCCTCTTGCCTAAACCTAATCAACCCAACCAATGAAGGCAACAAGTACTAGCCAATCATAGGGAGAGTAGGGCGGGTCATTCCTACACCATCTGAGGATTAGCAGATTTTCGTCCCAGGTGCAGCAGTAGTCTCATGACAAACACAGAGAGAGATGGAGGGCTGAGCGAATCGATGCGCTGCGTGCAGCTTTACAGTGAAATTAGATTATACCAGTTTTAAAAAGTTGAATTTGCGGTGATTGGATAAAATTGCATAGTCACACAGAATTAATCAGAATTGGCTGAATTTGCGTTAATTGTAGTGATCGCAGCATCCTGGAGGGAGCGACAAAGCAAAGCAGCAGAGGTATCCTGACCTTGGGCTCCTACACTTCCCATAATGCAGAGTAACAGCATCTTTTTTGGGGCCCACCCTGAATGGTCAGTGCCTCTCAGACTCCCATCACAGGGGCTTTCCAGTAGAAAAAGTAAAAGAGCTCCCACAGAGTCACTGAGGACGTGATGCAACAGGCTGAATAGAGTGCTGAAGGAATGAGTCCTAAAACCTGGAAATGAGTTTGCACTTCCAGTTCCCTCGTCTCAAAGTCAATAGGCTTTTGTTTAGATTCCTGAAATAAACTCTGGTTAACACGAGCTTATGAGCTTTCATGTTTTGTTCTGTGACATAAAATACGTCAGTAAACACCCCACTTGTGAATTTTGAAGCCTTTAATTATGTGGCTTGAAAACACGGCTGCTAGCAAGTGGCTAAATGAGACTACAAAACGTCATCACACCCAGTGCTCAAATCACGGTTGTACAGTTTTGTTGTAGTGACGCTAAAGTCATGCAACTATGGTGTAGTTCTATAACTGAGTATCTCGCTGAACAAAAAATTTTAGTATCGTAAAATTTAGGTTGCCGCAGAGCTTATTTTTTGTAGTAATCCAAAATGTGATGAAAAAATCCTGTTGGCTTTTTGTAGAGGGAAGCAGGACGATGCTAACTTCCGGGTCCGCCTACAGAAAAACATCATCCCTGCAGCACTCTGTAGTCAACTCCATTGGAAGTGTACTGAATTTGATGTGTGAAACTGGTGGAGTGCCCCTTTAAATACACTGCAGAAGCCTTCCATTGTGTCCTGAGCACCTGAAACACCTGGTGACACACAGACGCAGTGGCAGCATTAGCATCCTGCCAAAACAATACATCTCAAGAACCTGAATACTGTAGGGAACGGAAGACATTTTGACAAGTCTCATTTTTAATATTTAGTGTCTATGAATGAATTGGATTTACTTGATTTAGGACTGTGAAAGTTTTTCTGCACATGATTTTGTTTTAATAATGGGTGAAGAAAAGCAAAAGCAGGTTTTATTTTAAATTCAACATGGGGTTTCTGTTGCTGTTCACGACCTGTCTGTGTCTTTTCTACGTTGTACATGTTATTTAGCTGACGCTCTGTCGGGGGGAGAAGAGGAGTGTTTGTGGCTGAAGGATCTTTCAGAAGGACTCGTTTCTCCTCTTGTAATGTCACTCATCATAAACTGTACAGCAGCAGTCGACTTGACCTGGAAAGACAAAAGACACCACCGGATTAAGGCTTCAGTTTGAAATACTGGATACCCCAGAGAGAAGAATTCACATCCAAAACTGATTATCTGAAACACAAAAATAAAATTAAGGTCTCTACTTTGTGGTAAATCGTCTGGTATTATACATCTCTGCAAACCACAGATACGTTTTATTTTATGTGTCATACCACTGTTCAAGACCAACAAACAAAACCGGCTCTTTTTTAGGAAGTCGTATTTTCAGCAGATTTTTATCCACCAAACATGGGTGTTTTTTAGTGACCCATAGCTGTTTTTTCACCGGGGATAGTGCCACAAAAATCAGTTGTTTTTTATTGAGGAACTGCTGCATTTCCAGCTGAGATAGTGCAGCGAAAAGAGGTCGTCTTTTACCGAAACGTCCCTGCGTTTCAAGGCAGGATATCGCAGGTATAGTTATTGTTTTTTACTGAGATGCTGTTGCATTTCCAGCTGGATAGTGCCATGATAAGCAGTTGTTATTGTTATAGAGATATAGCTACATTTCCAGCCACAACAGTGACATGAGAAGCAAATGTTTTTACCAAGACATCGCTTTGTTCCTGCAGGGTTGTGCCACAAAAAGGGGTGCTTTTTTCCAAAAAATTGCTGCATTTCCAGCCAGGATAGTGGCACATACAGTATAGCAGTGACTTTTTTTACTGAGACTCAGCTGTGTTTCCAGCCCCTACAGTGACATGAAAAGTGGTTGTTTTTTTCCAAAACATTGCTGCATTTCCAGCCAGGATAGTGGAACAAAAAGTGTTTGTTTTATACTGAGACGCTGTTGCATTTCCAGCCGAATAGTGCCATGAAAAGCGGCCATTTCTTATGGAGACTTAGCTGTATTTCCAGCCACAATAGTGACATGAAAAGAGATTGTTTTTACCAAGACATCACTGGACTCCTGCAGACCACTGGTACCACGGAAAGCGGTTGTTTTTCTGAAACATCACTGCGTTTCCAGCCAGATTAGTAGCATGAAAAGTGGTTGTTTTATACTGAGACATCACTGTGTTTTCAGCCAGGATAGTGGTACGAATAGCCCTTGTGTTTTACTGAGACATACCTGTATTTCCAGCTATGATAGTGACATGAAAAGGGTTTGTTTTTAGCAAGACCTTGCTGCGTTCCTGCAGGAATAAATGATGAAAAGCGGTCTTTTTTTTTTTTTTTTACAGAGACATACCTGTATTTCCAGCTATGATAGTGTCATGAAAAGGGTTTGTTTTATTACCAAGACTTTGCTGGATTCCTGCAGGGTTGGTGCCACAACAAGCAGTTGTTTCTTTCCTAGACATTGCTGCATTTTTTGCCGGGATGGTGCCAACAAAACTGGGTACA